CACCCACCAACCACGTGTGGCCACTTAGAAGCCAATTAAATACAGTTAGAAGTGCAGTTCCTTCGTGGCAGGTGGAATGAATGAGTGTGTGTGTGTGTGTGTTGCTGGGAGGAGTGGACAAAGCAGACAGCAATCATTTCCACCATCGCACAAGCTCCTCTGGGCAGTGCTGGGGACCTCTCATTTGGGAGCCCGGTGCTGGGGTACGAACGAGGGCCTGGCCTGCGTGTCCCCACGCCACCCACCAGGTCCATCCTTCCCAGCCCCATTCTCTGCTGACTCGGCGAAGGCTGCCCAAGGCTGAGCCTTTCCAGGAGCCCGAGCCCCGAGGGAGGGGCTGCTCGCCCTGCAGAAGCTGCTGGTGAGCTCCCAGCGGTGAGTGTTGAGGCTGTGGAATGACAGGGGCCACCACGATGTCGCTGTTGTCAGGAATTCCTAGGGACAAGGGGCTTCTGGGGCTGGGGCACTACCCAGGAACCCCGCACCCCTCCTCCGTTCCGTTGAGGTGTGGCAGTGCAGGGCGGGGCTCAGGTACCGCACGTGACTCAGCGTCAGCCCTGTGCCTGGGCTCGGGCTCCCCATGTGTAATCCCCGTGTCCACCCTCCTTCTGGGGGGCGGGAAGGAAGGCTGAGGCAGAGTGCGCGTTCACGTTTGCGGGACAGAGCACTGAGGCACCATTCCAGTTTCCCCGCAGGACCTCAGGTCCCCACGTGCCCTCTCAGGCAGGGACACGGCCGCGCTCTTGGAGCACCCATCCCAAACTCACCGGGAACCCCGAGGCTTCCGCAGCCTCAGAGGTGGGGATCAGCCTTGCATCCAAGGCTGACAGGGAAGACAACTGGGGTGGGACCCTCCTCACTGCCTCCAGCGCCCTGCCCCCTGGGGCCCTGCAGTGCCAAGGGCAGGCTGTTTTCGACGGCACCCCCAGTTCTACGTGGCTCTCCAGAGCCCACCAAGCCGCGTTCCTGGCTGGAAGAGCATCAGCTCGGCACACGCGGTGCCACACGAGCCGGGCCTGGCCGCCTGGGGGGCAAGTCGAAGGGAGCTTGGTGCCTTGCCACCCTGAGCCCCCGCAGTGGACTCGGGGGCGGGGGGGGCGGGCAGAGCCTGGGGCCTCGCCCTGGGCATCTCTCCGCCGACAGTTCTGCACACAGGAGTCCAGGGTTACTGTGGCACTTCCTCCCCGGGGGTCCGGAGGAGCGCGTCCCGACGGGCGGTTTGTGAGGAGCTGCCCTTCTGCACCCCACGGAGCCGGAGGCGCGGCTGAGCCGAGGGGGCGGGGTCTGCAACTGAGCCGCGGGGCGCCTCTCCCGCCCGCCCCGCCCCGCCCCGGAGGCCATGCCCCGCCCCCCAGCGCCAGCCCCGCCCCGGAGGCCCCGCCCCCCAGCGCCAGCCCCGCCCCCGCCTGCCTGGCGCACCCTGGCGGAGGGAGGCTGCGCCTCAGCCAGGCCCAGGCGGCGGGCACCTCCAGACTTCTCCAACCCCAGGACAGGAGCCTGGACGTCGGGGCTGCCCGTCCTGGGTTTCTCCCACATGAGTTTCCATACTCCAGCCTTTTGGGGATCGGCACAGTGAAGTGGATGCGAGGCGCCTGCACCCCAGCCTTCCTTGATGCACCCGAGGCCCAGCAAGCTACCAGTTCTCAGACGGAGCTGGTGGGATAAAAAGATGTCCTCTGGCTGGGGCCCTGATGCCCTTATACGCTTGTCACTTGGGCCAGATCAGCAGGTAAAGGGTGTGCCCTGCCCTGAGGCAAGGTTTTCATCAGGGTGCCGTGAGCAGGGCTGAGCCACAGCACGTAGGGGAACCCCAGGCCCAGTTCCTCCCTTGCTCGTGGGGACTGGCAGTGCCTCCTTCCTGGCTGATGCAAAGGTTGTGTGGGTCATGAGGAGCTTATCTGGAGAGCCCAGTGGCAGGCAAGCCCTGCACAGGGACGGGGGCTGCCCCGGGCAGCAGCTTATGAGGGGTCCGAGGTCAGCAGCGATGGGTGGTGCTGACTGGGGACACTGGGCATAGAGGGGCAGTGACCGACAAGGTGTGGCATACGCTTGAGGCCCAGGTGCACAAGGCATGGGGAGGGAGAAGGCCCCTCTCATGACCACCCCAATGCCTGGCTCACAAAACTTGTGCTTCCCATCCCCCACCCCAGCTTGGGATGGGTTCCAGGTCCCCAGGTGGGATCCTTTTGCTTAGGAACACAACTGGGTCTCACTGGGAGCGTGGCTCAGACGCAGCCCAGCCACACAAGGATGAGACAACACAGGGCTGGCTCTGGCAGGCATGGGGCTTTGTGAGGCTTGGGGGCCAGGAAGGTTTGTGCCTTCTACTTCTTCCTGGTGGTGCGGTACAGGTAACAGAGACCACAGCACCTGTGCGGGCAGCCACACAGGGCCTGGGGCCTTAAAATGAAGGGTCGAGTCACGTCAGCAGGTGAAGGCCACAAGCAGCTGGGGCACTAGCTGAGGGGGACATGGAAAGAGTATCTGAAAAGGCAGGTGGGAAGTGCCTCCCACAGTGGCCACTTACAGATGTAAACACACATATTTGTATATGTTAACCAGTGGCTACGCTGACTCACGTGTATTACACACGTTTTCCTTTTCTTTCCCACCGTCTGATCTGAGGAGGGTTGATTATAGGACAGTCTTTAGGCCACAGGATGCCCAGGAGAGGCTGTGTCTGAATTAGAGGAGGAATCAATCTGCTGGGATGCCTCCATGCTGGCTCCACCCTCACATGGTCGGGGGAGGAGACCCAGCACGTTATTGGCTTGACGGTGGCTATGTGACTTTAGGTTGGCATGCAATGTTGGTGAAACAAGTCAGAGTAGGAGGGGTGCAAATGCTGAAACCCCCAGGGTGCCCTCATGGGCTGTCAGCACAGCCTCCTTCTCCCCGGCCTGTCACAGCAGGGGCATCCCGTGTTCAGTGCTAAGCTGACACTGGTGAGAGGTCCGGGAGGTGGGAGGGAGGGGACGCACTGCGGCTTCAGCAGCTGGTGGGCAGGAGGCTCTGCTGAGAGCTCCGGGCGTCCTCCAGAGCCGGGACGTCAGGCAGTGGGGATCTGGGTGGCAGGGCCCTGTGAGGCCCCTATGCACCCTCTCCTGTGCTTGGCTCCCCAGCCTTCTTCCTGCATTCAGTTTCTCTCTGCCTACAGTTGCTTAAGTGGTTTAGATTTTCCTGACCAGAGACAGTTTAATAAGCCGAGCTGACCAGAGGGAAGAGGACAGAGCGGATGGTCTGGGTCTGAGGCAGAGACCCCTGCACCACCATCAAGACGGGACAGAGACCCTCTTGAGCTGCATTTCAGGAAGATGGGGCTTAACTGTGAAAAATGAAAACTCAGTGTGGAGGCGGGCACGCCGCGGGCAGCCTCGGCCCAGCGGGACCACAGAGCTGAGTGCAGCCCCGGCGCTGGCGGCAGGACCATGGACTGCGCCTTTCAGCCGGCTACCAAGGTGGAGGATTCTCTTGTGAAGAAAGCAGTAGGAAGGATGGAGAAACATACTTCCTGGAGAGGCATCTGGAGCAGTTTCAGTTTTGATTGCTGTTACACTACTGACAACTGAGTCAAAGTGCTGATGCGGCTTGGAGAAGCTTCTGTAACCCACACTCAGTGACTGTATGCACAGCCAAGTCCACTGCGTGCTCATTTCTCCCTTGGTTTTTGTATCTGCATTTTACCAAAGCTGCCAATGCTTTCTTCTTATTACTTAACTGCGGCAAGTTCCAGATGTGTCTCCAATAGGAAAATTTACAACTCTCTTGCCTTTGATCCTTAGGACTTCAGGCATCAAAGAGGTTATAGATTATAAATGACATATGGCAGACAAAATAGTTAACAAAAGAACACAAAAGTGTTAGGATTGATGGCACACGATTAAGCACAAAGAGCTGAATGTGGGTGACACTGTGAAGGCCTCGAATGGGGAGTTCCTTCCTGCAGACATGGTACTGATGCCTTCCGTGAGCCTCAGTCAGTGTGCTCATACAGCAACATCTGATCTGGATGGAGAGACAGACAAATGTAAGGCACAGCAGGCTTTCCCAGAAACAGCTGAAATGCAAACAGAAAACTAGTTTTTAGGCCTACCTGGAAAAAGAGACTGTGAAGCGTCTCAGCGTCATTTCAATAGCTTAGTGTGAGCCTAAGTGGTAAAAAGCCCTGTTCCCATTGGGGCTGAGCAGGTCTGGTTAAGAGGTAACAGCTTAGAAATACTGTGGTTCCCTGGTGTAGTTGTTTGCACTGGATTTGAAACTAAATTCCTGCAGAATTCTGTCAAATCGCCTCTTAAGAGATCAGAGGCTGAGAAAGTAACCAACATGCAGGTCTCCCTTTTGTTCCTGCGGCTCTGATCATGTCCTTGCTGAGCTGCCTGGGAGCTGCGTTATGGAATAAAAAGTATGGTGACATTTGGTACCCAAAAGGGGATCCCAGCTCACAGCACCATGTTTGACATACTGGTGTTCATCACCTTGTTACAGAACCTCCTCCCCATTAGTCTGCTGCTCACTATGAAAATTGTGAAATATATTCAGGCCTAGTTTATAAGCTGGGATGATGTGCATTATAAAGTAAATAGTGTCTACACCATGGCCAGCACATTCAATCTCAGTGAAGAACCTGGGCTGGTAAGATATCTATTTTCTGATAAAACAGGAACCCTTACTTGCAATATTAAGACACTTAAGAAGTATACAGGCTGGGCACAGTGGCTCAAACCTGTAATCCTAGCACTTTGGGAGGCCAAGATGGGTGGATCACCTGAGGTCAGGAGTTCAAGACAAGCCTGGCCAACATGATGAAACCCTGGCTCTACCGAAGTAAATAAAAAAGCCGGACGTGGTCGTGGGCGCCTGTAATCCCAGCTACTTGGGAGGCTGAAGCAGGAAAATTACTTGAACTGGGAGGCAGAGGTTGCAGTAAGCCGAGATCGCACCGTTTACTCCAGCCTGGGTTATAAGAGTGAAACGCCAATTCAAAAAACAAACAAACGAAGTGTATCATTGCCAGTGTAATTTACAATGCAACACCTTCCATCCAAGTCCTGTGATGACCCCAATTTATTGGAGAACATTGAGAATGGCCATCCCACGGAAACATGTATAAAGCTATTTCTTACCCTGCTGTCTGTGTGCCACACTGTTATCCCGGAGAGATGGACACCATATAACCTACCATGCTTCCTCCCCGGATGAAAAAAAAAAAAAAAAAAAAAAAAAAAAGCTGGCTTTCTTTTCACTACAGGAACACCATACTCTGTCACCACAGAAGCTATGGGAGAAGAATTCACTTTTGAAATTCTTAACGTCCTGGGGTTCTCCAGTAACAGAAAAAGGGTGTCCATAATTGCCCTGACTCCTGTGGGACAGCTCCAGCTCTACTGCAGAGGGGCCGCTGAAGGCAGGAATCGCAGTCACCCAAGCTGCCCTTCAACAGTGTCTTCATCAACTGCTCTCCTGACAGAAGCGTCCCACGTGGTGTGCATTTTCTCAAACAGAAGCATCTGTGGTCAGGCAGGAAGAACTAGTCCGTTCTTATGACACTACTAAAAATAAACGCAAGAGGAGCTGCTTTTCCTGATTTCACCTATGACTCAGATTCTGATTCCCATAGTCTGTGCTCGGGTCCTTCACTGGGGCTGGGGGAAGGCGCCCGCACTCCCAAATACTCAAGATTCCTGGGTATAAATAATGAAGGACCCCTTTGCTTTTCTTAATTTGTCTTCAGTGTTTTTCGTACGTATTTCTTTGTATCCGTAAGATAATTTGTTCCTCAGCTCAGCCAGAAATATAAAATTAAAAGCATGATTTCACGCACACAGAAAGGAAAGCTCAGCGTGACAGGGGGGAAAGGCTGCCTGCTGTGTGGGTGCAGGAGCGTTCCTCCAGGCAGCAGGCCCCCGGGGCCCCGTCTTCAGGCTTCAGGACCCACGCCTAGGGCTGGGGCGCTCCCCGCAGGCAGGACTGGGCCTGGAGGGCCTCCTCATACTTCTCGAGCTGACACCAGAAGCCTGGGTTGGGTTCCGCTACCGGACGAGCGCTCTTCACCATCTGCAAACAAGAGGTGCCTTGAGGAACCCCAAGTCGCCCCAATGGCCAGGAAGGGCCAAGGGGGGCTCGGCCCGCAAAAGCGGCCCCGCCCAACCCGGAAGCGCCTCTCCGCTTCCCTAAGCCCGCCCCCACGGGTGAGCCACGCCCCTCCCGGAAGTATTCCAGTCCCGAAGCCCGGCCCGTCCGAAAAACCCGTCCCCGGAAGACACGCCCCTCTCGAAACACCCGCCCCCTGAGGCCCGCCCACCTGGAAGGCCTGAGTCAGGCTGAGGCCGCGGTGCCGCATGAGGTAGGCGGTGCAGACGGCGGCCGAGCGGCTGCGGCCATTCTTGCAGTAGACGAGGCAGGCGCCGCCGTCGCGCACCGCGGCTTCCATGGCGGCGCACGTGGGCTCTAGGTGCGCCAGCAAGTCCTCGGCCGGGTCGTCGAACACGGGCACGCGCAGCTCGGCCACGCCAGGCGCGCTCGGGCCGGGCTGCTGGCGGGAGACGTTGACGCACAGCGTGACGCCTGCGCGCGCCAGCTGCTCCCCCGCGCCCGCGGCGCGCGCGCTCCCGAGGAAGAGAGAGGGCGCGACGCGCGCGAAAGGCGGCGGTACCGGCGAGGCGGCCCCGCGGTGACCCGCTTCTCCCGGGCCCATGGCGCCCGCCGGAGAGTCTGTCTTTGGGGTCGGGCGTCCGCCCTGAGGATCTATTTTTGGGGCTCAGGCGCCCGCCCAGGAGTCTATTTGTGGGAGCCGAGCGCGCCGGCGGGCGCCTCCGGGTCCTAGAGGCCTCCGAGGTGGACCAGGCCGGGGCCTGGGCCTCGTCGGGGCTGGGGCATGGCGGGGGCTTGGGCCTCGCCGGGGTTGGGGCCGTGGGCCGCTCCGGGCCCCGGGCTGCCCTTCCCCGGGCTGTCCGCGCCCCGGCGCCGCGCCCCCCCTCCCTGCGGTCCTGCGCCTGCGCCGAGTGCCGTCCCTGGCGCTGCACGCAGTGCGCGTGTTGTCCGGACTGCGGCGCCGGGCGCGGGGGCGTGGCCTGGCCGGGTCTGCGCACTGCGTGTCCCCGTGGTTCCACTAGGGCCTCGTGGCTGCTGGCCCGCGCTGGGGACCGCGGGCCGCGTGGGTCCCGTGTCCTCCCCCTTTCTCATGTGACCACGTGGCTGGCTTTATGTTTATTCCTTTTTGTGACCCTCTTTGTAACTAGTGCATTTTTTTTTGTTTTGAGACAGAGTCTCGCTCGGTTGCCAGGCTGGAGTGCAGTGGCGCCATCTCGGCTCGCTGCAACCTCCGCCTCCCAAGGTCAAGCAGTTCTCCTGCCTCAACCTCCCGAGTAGCTGGGACTACAGGCGCGCACCACCACGCCCTGCTAATCTTTGTACTTTTAGTAGAGACAGGGTTTCACCATGTTGGCCAGGCTGGGTAACTGGTGCATTTTTTTCTATGTATTGTAACACGACTCATAAAATAAAACTGTAATTTCTATTTTCATCACTACATAGACCACTATTCCTTTTGTTTTTATCTTAGTAATTTATTGGGGTCAGCATTGTAACTTTCTAAAATTTAATATATAATGTCCATGAAGTTGCCATTTGAGACCCCTTCAGTTTTTCTGATATCTGGTCATTTTCGGTGATTGGATTCAGTGAAAAGCAGCTGTCTCACAGCCCTACAGACATTAGTAATTGAAGTTTCCGTTTTATACAGTCTCTCTCGGGCTTACTATCTTCATTGTTTCATTCCATCAGCCACCTGACATTGGTACCTGTCAGATCTTGATTGCAGCCTGGGGTTCACTCTTGAGCTGAAGACTCAAGTAGGTCTGTGGCCAGGTCCTCACTGGTTGCAGCTCCAGACGTCATCTCTTCGGAGGTCTTACCAACGTCTTATTTCCCACTTCCTCTACCCTAAGGAAGGACTCCCAACTTTCCTGTGATGAAGGAGTGGAATTCCCCTTTTTTCACCACCAGAGTTCATGGGAGCCATTGACTAGGTCTCTCCACCTCCTAGGAGTTGGCCCTAATTGTCTCTGGCCAGCACTGAAGCCCATGCTCCCGTGACTGCTCTGGCAAAATAGGCTTGGTGTCTAGTAACTCATGAAGGAGAGAGCTTTGGAAAGCTCCTCTGTTCTCTCACTGCCATAAGGGGAACCAGCCTTGGGTGAAAGCAGAGGAGATGGGAGAGCCCTGGTCCTTGATGCCATTGTTGGGTGCTGAAATGCATCCAGTAAAACCTGAAACCCTTCCTTCTGGACTGTTTCATTAATCATCACCGTTTATAGTTGGTGGTTGGTTGAGTTTTGTGCTCCAAAAGTCTACTTGAATCATCATACTCACACCCCATTGAGCTAATGGATTGGGAACCAATTCATCCTAAGTGTCTGTGTACCTCATTGCCACATTTAGTCTGGGCCAGCCTCTGCCTCCTGGACACGGTGCCAGCCTCCCACGGTGTAACCAGAATGCTTGCTAAGACGGAGCTTTTCTACATGTTGATTCTGACTCCTTAGCAAGTTGTAATTCACAACTGATGTGGGCTGTGAAATCAGTTCTGTGGGTTATGATCACCGTTTTAATTTTTAGAGAAATGGTATAGAATAGACTACATGAAAATACTAGGGTGCATGCATGTAGTATGGTGAACTTTTAATGAGACATTTTTCTGAGTGTTTGTACTGGGTCATGGTATAAAATGAGATTTGACTGTAGAGAGAAGTGAACTCGGAGACAGGCACTGGCGTGTGGAGGCGGTGCCCCTAGAGCCCCAGATTCCTGGCCCAGCCTTAGGCCTGAGTCCTGGAAAAGCTATCCAGTGGGGCGGGCCCAGGCGTCGGCTCTTCACACACCCTTACCCTGTTCTCAAAGGCAGTCTGGGTTGAGAAACGCAAGCCCTGCACCTCCGAGAGCCTTTCCCCTCTTTCCAGGAAGGCCTGTTTCCCACCATGGTGCCTGCCTGAAAACTGCTCTGTAGCCTGGAGAGCTCCTGTGCATCCTGTGAGGCCCCATGAGGAATCCTCTCTCAGGCTTTCCCATAGACAAGACAGCCCATCCCTCTTCTCTGCGGTGACTCCTGCGGCCTCCCTCATCTTCCCTCTGCAGGCCTCGGGCTCCCCTTGCGCCTTCCACATTCACTGAATGGACAAAGGCTGCGGTCGTCAGGCAGGGCTTGATGAAGCCGCGGCTCCACGCGTGCTAGGTGATCAGCGATCAGGGCAAGTTAACACTCAGAAATCCCACGGCGCGGGAGTGTTGGGAGAATTTAGCGCTTTCTCCCCCAGGGGCACTCCGCCCAGGGACCCAGGGAGGCTGGGACCCACGCCGCCAGGCCGGGCGGGCAGCCTCCGAGCCCTGAAGTCCCAGAGGGCGGCCACGCCCCGGGGCGGGGCCGGGCGCGTCCTGGCGCGGGGATTGGCGGAGCCGGCGAGCGGCAGCGGGCACGGGGCGGGGCTGTCTCCAGGGCGACGCGACGCTCCCCAGCGGCTCAGGCGCGCAGGCAGGGCGGGGGTGCGGGCGTCCGCTGTGGCTGCGGTCCCCTTGGTCTCCGCGCTGTCCGGTGGGAGCTCTCTGAGCTTTGCTTGGTGCGGCCCGCGCGGCAGGGACGCTGGGAGCCGGGGCTGGGGGGATCTCCGAGCTCCGTGGGGCGGCGGGTGGGGGAGGCCACTGGGGAGGGGCCCAGGGCCTGGGGGTGTTTGGTTCGGTGGGCGCTGGCTTCTGAGGCCCGTGGCGGACACCTGCTGTCAGCGGCGCCCCTTGGGCGATGGCGGGCGCGGACCTGATCTGGCCACATGGCCACGACCGCCCTTGCTATGGTCCCCGCCCAGGAAGGGACAGGGACATCTGGGAGGGTTCCGACAGGCCTCCTTCAGGACTCCCAGGGACGGCGGCCCGGGCTCCCGCGCGGTTCATGGCGGGGGTTGGGTTCTCTGAGACCCACGGGCTTCGGGCGGGACCTCCGGGGCACTCCGAGTGCGAGTTCCCGGCAGGAGCCCCGGGGGCAAATGTGCGGTCCCGGCGTTGCTTCCAGGGTGGAAGTTCACAGACATGGACGGGGGCCACGCGTCCCTCAGCTTCGACGACGGAGCCTCTGGGGCCGGCAGCCCCCAATGCCCGCTGGAGGGGACGGGCGGCGAGACCCCCGATGCCGAGGAGCCGGGGTCCCCGCGGAGCGATGCTGTCTTCGCCTCAAGGTGCGGGGGGCGTCGGGCAGGGAGGCCCGACCCTGACCCGGGCCCAGGGTTAGCCGGGGTGCTCCCTGAGGCGAGCACTGGAAAGGGCTGTCACTCCCCGAGAAATCCGAAAGCCCCGACACGTGTCAGCAACCACCGAGGAAGACGCCCGTAGATGGTCACCGGAGCTTCTCCTGCCCCTTCCCGCCTGCACGCTGCCCCCTAGCGGAAGGAGGGAGCGTTTCCCTCGCGAGACGGGGCTCCAGAGTGGGCCCCGACTTCACAGCTCTGTTCACAACAAGGGCTGCTTTGAGCCAGGGCTGCCCCGGGGCCTCACTGCAGCCTCACCAGGTCCCAGGGTCACCCCATCACGCTCGCCCCTGTTTGTGGGCCTCCAAAACTCAGTCCCAGCCCTGGCCAGTGTGATGGGCTTTGGGAGGTGGCAAGGGTGGACCCCATGATGGAATGTGTGTACCTATGAGAAGTGGAAGAGCCCAGAGTTCCCCCATCCTCTCTCACCACCGTGTGGGGACCCAGTGAGAAGGCCACTCCAGGAAGAGGACCCTCCCCAGACAGGGACTGCTGCCCTGCACAGCTGAGAACGGAAGCCCCTTTGAGATGCCTGGTCCACCTGTGGGGGTCTAAGACGCCCCGTCCGACTGTGGGGGGTCTGAGAGGCCCCATCCACCTGTGGGGGGTCTGAGACGCCCCGCCCGTCTGTGGACGCCCTGTGAGTTATGGCAAATGCACCCTGGTTGGTGCCCCCTCATTGTAGCACACTCCCAGCCCTGCCCCTTCCATCTGTCCATCCATCCACCTGTCCATCCTAGTCTGAGCTGGCTGCCTCTCCAGCTGGCCTCTGACCTCCCATGGGCCCACATGTATGGTCTGCTTTCTGTCCAGCTTGAGGCTGGCACTGCTGGCCCTTGAATGAGAACCTGGCTGTGAGCACCCACATCCGGCAGGCAGCTGGAGTGGGCCAGAGGTCCTGGATCTCAGGCGCTGCAGCCAGCAGGCCCGGGCTGGAGAGGCCGACGAGTCCTGCCTCTCGGGCCTGGCAGCGTCTCCCCTGTCCGTTGGCAGCCTTACTGTGCCTTCCACTTCCTGTGTGACCTCAGCCATCGCTGCACCCTCTGTGCCTCGGTGTTCCCTCCCGTGGAGCGGGGTGCAGCAGCACCTGCCCTGGGGCTGAGGGGTGAAATGAGACGCCAGGTTGTGGTCAGCAGCCACTGAAGGCCCTGCAGCCATCCCGCTCTTCCTCCCTCTGCTCCTGTCCTTTTAGGGATGTCTCAGAAGCCTCTGAGAAGGAAGAGGAGGAATCTGAGGGCCCGCTGAGGGTGCAGGACCTGAAGGAGGCCCATCTGCAGCTGGTCCAGGGTGTACAGGAGTGGCCGGATGGCTGTGTGTACCGGGGGCAGTTTGGGCTGAACACGAAGCTTGGATATGGCGAATTCTCTTGGCCCACGGGTGAGGTAACTGCTGCCACACTTTCTCCGCCTCCTCCCCCAGGGCCCCTGGTGGCTGGCCTCTCTTCTAAGCATGATGGTACAGGAACTTTTAGGCCCATAAACAGACAGGATGCCAGGCTAAAGTCTTTTCTCCTTGAGAAATGGCCAGAGAAAAACATCTTTCCCAACTTCCAAAATCACACCAATGGTTTGCTAGGGTCCACAGGATGAGGTGTGGGAAGCTCTGGGCAAACATTTAAAAATCACAAATGACCGTAGCAATGTCATCTATTTGCCTTGGTGAAATTGCCTGCGTCTAGGCTTAAGCAGAAGGCAGTGAATGTTCTAAAAGACAAAATGAGAACAAGTTTTGCACCCCCAGGCTAGGTCCTGAGCCCACATTCAGAGTAGCTGGAACTGAAAAGGCCTCTGTTGGCGCTTATAAGGGAAAGTCCAGGGGTGAGGTAGCCTCAGGCTCAGCTGGATCCAGGGTTCTAATGATCTAACTAGGCCCTCTCTCTTTCCATCTCCACAAGGGGGTTCTAAGGCTGACCTTGCTCCATCTGCGCAGCCCCTGGGGGTGGCATCAAATACCCCTGAGAGAGAGAAAGGCCCCAGGAGGATGCTGGTCTGGCTTGGGGATGCGTGAAGTGGTCACACCCGTCAAGGCTGGGGTGGGAGTAAGGCGTCCTCTGGTTGGCAAGGCCTGGCCCAGGCTCTGGGGCTGGGTCCCTTGGGGAGTCCTCTCTGCAGGGAGAGGGTGTCTGTTGCCAGAAGAAATGGAAGGGCCACTAAGCCGTGAACATTGCCATGCCTGTCACGTCGGGGTCAGGTCTGGGTGGACTGTGAGCATGGACGGCTGTGCGGGCACTCCAGGCCCATCCTGCATGGAGGAAAAGGTGGTGCCTTGCACTCAGTATGAAGATCTCCTGACTGGAAGCCCTTGCCGTGAACGTCACATTCGTTTTCCCTCCGGGGCCTTGGTAGAGCGGCAGGCTCTGACACACTCACCCCTGTTGTTTGTGGGGCTCACGTCTGGCCAGTGCTGAGGAGTTATAAACCAGAGGCCTGCCCTGTGCCCACTGGGGCTCACAGCCCACCTCCCAGGGCCAGCCTGTCACCTCTGAACCAGGCAGGGAGCCCAGCAGCATGGGGCTCCTGAGTGGGGACAGGCCTCCCAAAACCTAAGGTGAAGGTCACCAGGGAGAAGGCAGGTCCGTGCTCTCCTGATGGATGTCTAGGCAGTTTGAAGCCCCCCAACATTCCACACTTGAGGAGGAGACACAGAGGCGGTCAGGCTGACTGCCCGGCAACCCCTCTGGGCACTTCAGGTGCCAACTCTAATAATCGCATGCCAGGCACCCCTGAGTTCTGCCACAGCCCCAGGTGGTCCCCATTCATTGCCAACCAGGCGGGTGGCTCGGCCTGGAGGGCATCCGTCAGGTTCTGGAAGAGCAGTAATTTCTCACCAACTTCTCCATCTCACAGATGTACCACGGGCAGTTTTACCGGGACCACTGCCACGGCCTGGGTACCTACACGTGGCCAGATGGCTCCAGTTTCACGGGCACGTTTTACCTCAGCCACCGGGAAGGCTACGGCGCCATGCGCATGAAGACGCGGCTCTTCCAGGTGAGGCGGCCGCTGCGTTCGGCTGGGGAGGGGCGGCCGTGGTGTCTAGGTCACTGAACAAAAACATATTTAAGCCCTGGGGAAGTTAATTTGTGTACTTACAAGTAGCTTTTTTACTTTTGATGATTAAAATGGTACCAGTGATAAGGGAATGGATAGAAGGTAAAAGCCTTCTTGCGTTTTATTCACCAGAGGGTAATTAGCAAACTGATATATATCCTTTACGTTATTTTAATATGGATCACTGTACACATAATATTTGAAATGTGCCTTTTTCAATGGAGAGCACGCCCAGGCTTTCAAATACAGATGCCTTTCCCCCTTTTATGACAGCATAATTCACAGTAAAATTCACCCATTTGAGGCTGGGCACAGTGCCTCAGGCCTGTCATCCCAGCACTTTGGGAGGCCGAGGCGTGTGGATCACCTGAGGTATGGAGTCTGAGACCAGCCTGACCAACATGGAGAAACTCCGTTTCTTCTAAAAATACGAGAAAACAGCTGGGCGTGGTGGTGCACGCCTGTCATCCCAGCTATTCGGGAGGCTGAGGCAGGAGAATTGCTTGACCCCAGGGGGCGGAGGTTGTGGTGAGCCGAGATTGCACCACCGCTTTCCACCTGCAGAGCAGGAGTCAAACTCGGTCTCGAAAATAATAATAACAATTCCCCATTTTAGTATATATTCTGAAAGTTTTGACAATTATCGGGTTATGTTACTGCAATCAGGATATAAACAGCTCCATCACCCCCAAAATATTGCCATGGCCTCGGTAATAAATGTCTCCCTCAACAAACTGTGGCTGATCTATCTTGGCCTAGGATTTTGCCCTTGTGAGAATACTGTATTAATGGTGTCAACAGAAAAAAACAAACTCTGTAAAATATTTTAATATTCTGAGCCAATGTGAGTGGTTGTTGCTGAGACACCAGGGGCTCACTCTAGGTCTTGCTGCGTGCTGCACAGAGGGCCAATCACCAAGGCAATGAGTGTTGCCAAGGAAGAAGGCTAGCTGGAGGTACAGCTGAAGAGACGGGAGCTCAATCTCAAGTCCGTCTCCCTGACAGAATAAACTAGGGGTTTATATAGCAAGGAAGAAACGTAGCAATGTGTGAGAAAACAGCAACTTGGGCGGGGCAAGGAAGCCATCGTGATGAATGAATGGCCTGGAGTCCTTCACTGAATGCCATGGTCTGGTGAGTTTTCGTTCTTTGACACTTTTCAAGAGGAGTTACAGCTCTTTAGTACATTTTGAGAGGCCTGAAGGTCTTTCCTGAGGAAGGAACTCAGATAAAACAAATGTAAGTTTCAAGCTTTAAGACCAGCGGGGTCAATTTTTATGTTTCTCTGGAAGCAACTCTCTGTAGGATTACTGGGCTGGTCTCAGTCCCCTTTTATCAGTTCCTCAATCACGGGGAATTGGGTTGTGGCCATTTCTGCCTGCTCCATGCTGAGGAGGGGCGCTGTGGGCAGCTCCACACCATGGGTGCCCATGTGGCCACCCAGGAATCAAAGGTTAATCTAATATAGTTTTCTTCCAAAAGACGATCTTTCTCTTTCCATTTCCCCACTGCACCAAAGACAAATCATAACAGGACAACCTACCTGCAAAATAAGCTTCAGTTTCATATTCATGCCCTGATTACCCACACCAAGTGCAGCAAGAACCATGGTTCACGTAGCTTCTTCTAAACTGGCTTCGCTGGAACCTCTCACAAGGCCATTTCAGTTGAAGCCTTGGGAAAATAACCATTTCCTCCAACTGTGTCCCATTATAAAATAAAACAGATTCTTATTAAACATGTGCAAACAAACACATTGCCACTAATTAAGAAAAGCAAAATGCAGTAAGGAGGGACTTCTGTATTTTCTTGTGATGTGCCTTTCTCTATGACTTTACTTTCAGCCTTTCTGTTTTATGATGTTTTAGATATTTCTTCACTTTACTTTTTTTGTTATTTTTTCATGATGCATCACTTTACCTGAAAAAATTGTGTGTGTGTGTGTGTGCGTGCTTACTGAAATCCAGTCCAATAATTGTCAAATCATCACTCGTCATTAAGACCTGCATCGTCCCAACGTGGTGGCTGCTAGCCATGCACATCTTCTGAACACTTGAAATGTGGCTGGTCCAGGTTCAGGGGTGCTGTGAATGTGAACCACGCCCTAGATCTTTAAGAGTTACTAAGAAAAAAGAATGTAAGATATATCAACAGTTTTGAATATCAAATATATGTTGAAATGATATTTTAGAAAGATTGAGTTAAATAAGAATATTATTTGAAAACGATTCTACCTGCCTCCATTTACTTTTGTAATGTGGCCACTAGAAGATTTTAAATTATATATTTGGCTCATGATTTTTCTTTTGGACAACTCTGATTTAGACCATGGACATCTAACAGTAATACATTTGCTTTTCATCCATTGTCTTCTTATGTACTTTTTCTTTGTTTCACCTGTTCTACATTCCTTCTCATCTTCGTTTGGGTTGATATGGTATTTTAAAAAACAATTTTGTTTTCACATTATCAGTTTAAAGTTACACACTTTTTACATATTATTTTAGCACTTCCCTAAAAATTACAGCATATGTTCTTGATGTATTGATTCTAGTATTTATGATACCTTTCATTTTCTAGGAAAATATATGAAACTTAGATTATTTTTTAACTCCAATTATCCCTTTTTGAATTCTATGCTGTTATTGGGATTCATTAAAAATATACAAGGGGCCCAGGTGTGGGGACTCATGCCTGTAATCCTAGTACTTTGGGAGGCAAGGGTGGGAGGATGACTTGAGGCCATGAGTTCAGGACCAGCCTGGGCAATAATGAGACCTTGTTTCTACAAAATAAAAATAAGAAAAATTAGTTGGGTATGATGGCACATACCTATTGTCCTAGCTACTCAGAAGTCTGAGGTGGGAGGAAGGTTTGAGCCTAGGAATCTGAGAACATATATAGGGGGTTTGGAGGAAACTTTGGGAGGTGATAGATATTTCTGTGGCATTGGTGGATTCATGGGTGTAAATTTACTCCTCAACTCATCAAGTGCATACATATATATGTGCAGCTTTTTACATGTCAGTCAATAAAGGTGGCTTCATATCTGTGTCTGCATGTCTAATCTCTCCAAGAACTTATTATTATAGTCAGCATTTTTAGACTTTTTTCTTACTCCTTCCTGTGTTTCTGATCTTTTATCAAAGATCACTTTTGCTGCATTTGATTAATTAATTTTTTGTTGTACAGTTGCCCTTTCCCAAAGGGTCACTTTCTTTTTGCCTGAACAATACCCTTAGAATTTGATTGTGTATTTGAAGATGGCACACTGTCAGTTTTTGCTTGTCTAAGAATCAGTTGTTTTCAACTGAGTTCTTGAAGAATATCCCCACAGGACAGAGTTCTAGGTTGACAGTTGTTTTCCTGAGCTCAGTGAAGATTCCACCCCATTGTTTCCTGGCTTCCATCTTTGCTGTTGAGAAGTCAGCTGTCAGCTTATTGCTCTTTTGAACTTAATCTGTGTCTTCTTTGGCTGCTTTGAAGTTTTATCTTTCTCTGGTTTTCTACAGTTTCACTGTGATGTTTCTAGCTGTGGATCTGGAAAATTCTCAACTATTATTTATTCAAATACTGCATGTGCCTCATTGTCTCTCTTCTCTCTCTGGGACTCCAATTGCAGGTATGTTAGACCCACTCACAATACCCTCTATGTCTGTTAGTCTCATTTCTGTGTCTTCCATTTTATATCCTGAGCACACTATTCTTCCACTAAAATGATTTTCTTAGTTTTCTTTTCTATTTTATAGTCAGTCTTATTGAGATATAATTTGCATGCAACATAATTTACTGATTTTAAGTGACAAAGTGAATTTTGAACAAATGCATATAGTCATTTCACCACCACCTTGATCATTATTTACAATATTTCCATCATTCCTCAGAATTTTTTCCAGCTCCTTTATATTCAACCCCCACCTCCACCCTCTAGCCACTGACAACTACTAATCTGCTTTTTATCATTGTAGTTTTCCTGCTTCTGTTAATTAATATAAATATAATTATACTGTGTGTAGTATTTTGTGTTTGATTTCTTTTGCTTAGGGCATGATTATTTTAAAACTCATGTTTTACATATTTCAGTCAATTTAAAAAATTATGGGGTAGTATTTCATTGCATGGATATAACAAAAATTTTTATTGGTTCACCATTAAATGCATATTGATTTCTTCAACATTTTTGGTTCTATGAAAAAGGCTGTCCAGAACAGTTGGTTAGACATGGACATATATCTTTATTTTCACTTGGATAAATACTCAAGAGTGGGGTTGCTTGTCAAAACAGTAAGTATATGGAAATTTTATAAGAAATTGCTAAACTCTTGTTCAAAGTGACTGTGCCATTTTGCATTTCAGCATCAATATATGAAAGTTCCAGTTGATTCATTTCCTTGTTAACACTTGGTATTGCCAGTCTTTTTATTTTAGGCATTCTCATGGGTGTATGTGGTATGTCATTATGGTTTGAATTTTTAGCACTCCAGTGACTAACGATGTTGGACATTTTTTCATGTTCTTATTTGTTATCTACATATCTTCTATGGCAAAGTGTTTGTTTATATGTTTTACTGATTATTAATTGGGTTATTTGCATTATTATGGATTTACAGAGTTCTTTATATATATTGATATTTATAAATATTTTATCCCAGTAGTGGCTTGCCTTTTCATTTTTCTTAGCAATGTCTTTTGTTTTATTTTTACTTTATTTCATTATTTAATTAATTTATTTACTGAAACGGGGTCTCACTCTGTTGCCCAGCCTGGAGTACGGTGGTATGATCATAGCTCACAGACTGGAGTGCAGCGGTGTGATCACGGCCCACAGGCTGGAGTGCAGCGGTGTGATCACGGC